GGGAGCGAGCGGCAAAAGGGGGTGCGGGCGGCCAGCCTCACGCCCCGGTTCGGAAGCGCGGTACCGGACGGCGCTGCCCGCCCCGCGCCCCGGCCGCCATCTTTGATGCGGGCAGAGAGCAGCGCCTAACCCACCCCTCCTCTGCTGTCACGTCCCTTCCCCACGCGAGGAAGCGTGATCGCCCGTGATAATTTTAAAAATGTCAGCGAGGTAGCAAATAGGTGTGGAGTTCCCATTACACAGCCCACAGTAAAGATGGCCAGCTGAGCCCAGAGCACTAATGTCGCGGGACAGTGAGAATCGGGGTACTCCCTGTGGAACCCCAGCCGCCCCCCGGCCGGGACAGGCCCCTGTGCCCACAGCCATCCCACAGACATACTCCCCAGCTCCCACCACACCGCCTTGCTGGGTGCCTGCCCACCACCCCTGTGCTGCTCTGAGACAAGCTGTCTAACCCAGCAACGGCCCAGAGACCCTGCGTGCAATTTTTACGCACCGAACAAGAACCCACTGCAGTGCCAGAGATGAGGAGATTTTACTCACAGGATACCCCAGCAGCTGGCAGCCACCTGTGATACACGGCTACTGGCATTAGTCATTTCTCCAACCAGCCAGAGGCTGAGTGGAGTCACTGAGATGCGTGGATTAGCTGCCACCATGCGAGCCCTTCGCCAGCTAACCTGCACCATCCCCATCCGCACAGCACCCAGAGCTGCCATACCACAAGGCAAAATCATCAGCAAAGGCTCACCATTTTCTGTCTCCCCATCTTCCTGCCCGCTTTTTCTTCCTTTGGCTGCCAGTTACCGCTAGCCACCCCACGCTGATTTGGCACTTATTTTGTTTACTTATCAGCACCAGAAACACTGATTCATTAAATTGATGTCAGAAAAGGCTGTTTTTGCCAGAAGTTAATCCTGTGTTATTCTGTTAAGTACAGCTGTATCATTTATAACTAAGCACGTAAACTTTATAACTTCCCAATAATGTGTTTCTTAGCCTTAGTTCCCCTTCATCTACAAAATGGCAATACTATACTCAGAAAAATTAAAGCCAGAATTCTCACATATTTGCTGATTTTCAGGTATGTCAAACGAGATGTCTCCATAATCTGGGGTGCTTGTGATGCTCATGACATCACTTAAAGATAGCAGGAATATTCATGCTTTATCGGACAGATTTTCTGGCATCTCCAAGCAGAACTCAAAACTGAATTACCACTCACAACATTCTGGTTATTAAAGTTATTCTGGTTATTAAAGTTAGTCTTAAAATTAAAATTAATGGCAGTGGGAAACACATCTCACCCCGATTTTGCAACAATGCAGCACAACAGGCCCCCAAATCCCTCAAGGAGAATCACGAACTCTAATAAAATGTAAACACACAATGGCTGTATCCTCCAGCCTGTGTTCAACAACTGATCAGACTTAGTTTAACAATTTCAGTGCCTAACAGTCTTGTAACCAAAAATGAGGGCAAAAAACCCTGTCACACAGATGAATATAACCCTAATACAGCTTGGTCTTTCTTGTTCCATCACAGATAATAAATCAGGTAGTAAGCAATAAACTCATTTTAAAGTATCAAGAAGTAGATTCTCTCAGAAATAACTGTCTGGCTTTAACAAGCACATAAAGAATTTATAAAGGAAAACAGATGTAATATTTGCAACTGGTGCATCACGCACTGCTAGCTGGCTGGCTGTGCTGTGTGGCCTCACCTCGAGCACTGAGTGCAACTCTGGGTGCCACAACACAAGAAGGACAAAAAAACTACCAGGAGTCCACAGGAGGGATACAAAGATGGTGAAGAGCTTGGAGGGCAAATCATGTGAGGAGTGGCTGAGGTGTGTTTGCTCAGCCCAGAGCAGAGGAGCTGAGGGCAGCCCTCATGGAGGCTGCAGCTCCTCACAGGGAGCGGAGGGCAGCGCTGAGCTCTGCTCTGTGTGACAGCGACAGGGCCGAGGGAAAGGCATGGAGCTGCGTCAGGGGAGGAGAGCTGGGGGTTACAGAAAAGGTCTGCACCAGAGGGTGGTGGACATGGAACAGGCTGCACAGGGCAGCAAGCACAGCCCAAAAGCATTTAGACAACGCTCTCAGACGTAGGGTTTGGATTTCAGGTGGTCCTGCATGGAGTCTGAGGTTGGACTCAGTGATCTTCGTGCATCTCTTAGAACTTAAGATATTCTGTGATTCTATAATTATATTAATTTGCAGTATGTAACAACTGTATTTTATGAATGTTAAGCTAGAATCTGAATGAGGTACCAGCAGATGCTTCTAGCCTCTTACCAATTCAGCAAAAAAAGTGTATTTGTCCAGCAAACTAAACAGCCTTTTACGAATATGGGACATCACAACAGTATTTGTTAATGGCACATTGTAAACTTACAGGTATTCCCAAGTGTATGATCATCCTGCTTAAACCCGCAGATTCTACTGTTGCTGATGCCTTTGAGGCATGGCCTACCACTAACCACATTTTTTGTTCAACTGCCACAAAACTTCTAGAGATCCTGACGCATAGCTGGAGTGAAAGCACTCAAGGAATCCCTAGTAAAATGGTCACTTATCAGTTATAGTCATTCACAGATTAACTTTATGATGGTTGTGCCACAAGTTCAACTTGTAGTCATACCATGCATGAGTCAAGCAAGCCAGTCTGAGCTTGCTAAGCCCATCCATCACCTCCCAACCTTGCTCAGCTTGCATGGAACAGATGACCCTTGTTTTTACGTGTGTTTTGGCTTCAGAAATCCCAGCAAGAAACATGGAATTCATAGCTTGCACAATTAAAAATATGAGGGCTGCTCCAAAAGTAATGCCTCTTATTTATTATGTTTGCCCACAATGGCAGGATGGCAGTAAAGGCTGTCTTCCTGCCAATATTCCATTACATTTCACTGCTGTGTGACAGATGGTAACAGAGGTGCAGTCTGACACACGCAACAGCATCTGACATGGAAACACACATGAAGCAAAAGTGTGTCACTGAATTCCTCCATGTGGAAAATATCGTACCCACTGACATTCACTGACACTTCCTGAACATTTATGTAGTCACATCCACTGAGCAAACGGTGGATGTGAGCACAGTGAGGTGGTGTGTGGTGTTTCAGCAGTGGCAACAGAGGGTAACCTTCACTGGTACAGAATTTTACAAGCTCAGTATGCATTGGTAAAAACACATAGTTAATGGTGGCGACTACACTGAAAAACAGGGGTTTGTAGCTGAGACTGTTCTATTAAATAGTGTTGTTGTGCTCTTCGTATCAGTTGTAGTTTCCATGGAAAAAAATCAGAGGCATTACTTTCAGAGCAATCTACATACATAACAACTGATAGGGTCTAACTGTAATCTCTCCTAACTGCTTCCACGACTACACAGTAAGGAGTAGATCTTTATGGACATATCAATTCCTGTACATGTTATGAACTATGATACCACAGATGATTCCACTAAAATGCTTACTGATTCATCACAGTATGAAATAAAAGTGACCTGTACCCCTACCTGATATAACAGTAGGCAAGCACGTGAGAACTAGTAAAGCAGCACCATACTGAAGTGGTCTGGGAAACTCTGCACTGCATACATTTGTAACTTGTGCATTCAAACTATACCTTAGCTTTGGACTGCGTTACGTTCCATTTCACAGTATTAGGAACAAAACTGTCCAGATTGGAACGCATAACCAGAAAGTTCTCCATCAATCCTCACATTTTACACAATTATAGAACAAATCTGCCCATGCTTGAGGGACAGAATAACGAGCTTTTACATAATAGCCTCAGCAGACCTTAAAAAAAGTCAGACTTTGCACAAGGTCCACAAACTATCCTTCAGTAACAGAACTTCAAAGATCTTACATGCATTTTCTAAAAGAAAAAAAAAATGTTTTGAAAGGATTTCTGCAGAGAGAAATTAGTATTTTACAACAAAATGCAACACATTTTATCTTATATGGATCAACTAGCAAAATATTAAATTATTTTTTCATTTCACAATTCTATAGCACAATCCCACTTCTTTTAGAGCAGCTACACAGACCGTACAGGTGAAAAGCAAAAGGAATCTATAAACCTAAGGATATTGCTGTCTTCAACACACTGCAAATAGCTACACGCTTTTTCCTTCTCCATTCAAGTCAAACAGCCTAATCCTTTAGTTAAACTGCTTTGTACCTCTGAAAGTACAACAACAAAAAATTACAATATCTTTCACTGGAAATGAAATCCAGAAATAGCATAAAGCCAGCAAGTTGCTTTATGTTACCATATCCTTCAGGTGTGGCATAGCTTTGAGTGCAGTCAAACAACCATTACAGAAATAATTACAGTTCACAATGGAGGAAAAAATATCTCCTTTCCTTCACTTAATTCTGTGAAATACTCAGACATCTCCCCCTCACACAAAAAAATTATTTATTGTATAAATAACTCTAGGATGCAAACTGAAATGATTTATGAATGGAGTTATGTAGAAACAAAACAAAAATCCTTGAGAAAACCTAGTGTGCATATTATATCTTCAAGTTCAATTTGCTTTCTTCAATAAGATAAGATTTCCCAACACGTTAACAGCAAATACTAATTAATGACCTTTAGACAGCAACACATTCCCTGCTACCAAAACTGGCTTTGTGAAATACTCATGTACTTTGCATGTGTGAGTAACTACTCAAATTCAATATCACAACCTTGAACTACAAGCGAGAGCTGCGTTTGAAACATTTCCACTTCAAATAGACCTCAGCAACAACAGAGGAAGCCAAGGTCTTGTTCTGTAGAAAGTCCATTTTACTCTATTACAATTGACACTATATTCAATTACTTCTCTATTCATTCAAGTCTCCTTTCCAGACCTCTTCCGTGCCTGTTTAGAAGTAACATTAGTAGATCTGATTAGATGAGTAATTCTACACAAGCTGTTTTATTTGCTGAAAAAAACAGAACTTGCAAATTAAAAAAAAAAAAAAAAAAGACAAAGTCAAAAACTCATGATGAAATAGATACGTTTATTTGCCTTGGCTCCCATCCTACATGTGAACATGCATGTAAGCACTTTTAAGGACAAGACTGGTCCTGCTAACTTCTGTAAAACAATACCCAAGACAGAGGCGTATGTTTTTGGAGGATATTAGGGTAGTACAGCTGTATTGTCAGAGAGGCTGCAGGTAACGTCTGTGAAGGGAGGAGACGTCTGCCATGCTGGTGGTTCCTGGCACAAATAGCCTTCCCACAGCCTCCTCCTTCCTCAAGCTTCGCTTATTCTCAATAACGTGTGAAATTTCTGTAACGGAAAGAATTAAGAATGCGAAAGTGTAGAAACTGTATCCTGTGACACTGTTTTGATAAATCTTGCATGATTACATCAACAAGGACAGGCATTAATCTAACTAGCAATTTGAGTTATAGATCCAAACAATGGAAACAAGTGCCTCAACTGTTACACCAGCCGCTGCGGGGCATTCTGCTTCTGGGTGTATTCCTACCAGCACAACTTTGACAGCTGACAAAATTAGAGAAGTATGTTGCTAGCATCTTTCAAAAATGTTTGCTTTCTAAAGGTGACTAAGTATCCGTGTGAAAAAAAAAAGAAGTCTTATGATTTTATTATCTTGGGGGCAAACGCAATAAGGTGTTAAGTCATATCTCTCTTTGTACTGAGAGGCTATCGGGAGTACTGACATAGGGAAAGTTACCTGTGTTTGCAGATGTGGGCAACTGCAAAGTGAGGAAAGTACAAACAACAAAGACAGAAACTGAAAAGAACAGCAATGGAAAACGTGGTGGAAAAAAAAATAAAGGTAGAGCTGATTAGAAAGAAAAATGGTTTACTAAATCTTAACTGAAAGCTTTGTCACAGCTAATTTAAAATATTCAGAAGCTGCTTTCATTTTTAGAAAGCTAATGAAAGAGCAAGTTAAATTAAAACCTAGCTTATTATGGAAATTAAAAATGCATGTAATTAGCAACATTTTTTACAGTCACCAGTATCAAGCTGTCTAAAATCCAGCAGAATGGTAGTGACAAAGTGACTGCTTTTGAAAAAAGCTCAGAGTGTTTGATAATCTACTCTGAAAAGCAATTCTGTCTAGTCGTAAGAGAAGAAGAGGAATATTGTACTTTGTACTTGCAGTCAGAATTGTCAAATTCAGTGCTTACGCTGTCTTCATGCAGATCGATTTGTTCCAACAGCCAGCTACATGGTAACTATTCAATCAATACAGCAGCTGCAGAACTGCCAAGGGGCCATCACGTAACAGAGGGCACATTACCTTCGAGGGTTTCACAAGCTGGTTCATTTTTTCTTCTGCAGACATGCACATTTCTACATAGAAATACACACAAAAGCTCAAACAAATCTACAGAGAATGTTCACATTCTTTCACGAGCGTGACATTAACAGAAGCTTGGCTGCAGTTTCCACAGGCCTCCAAGATACAACCAAACCAAATATAAAAGGGCACAAATCCTTTTTAATACTTCTTTATATTAATCCCTCGTGACGTTTCTAGTAAGTTGATACCACTGCTCAACAAACTGTTTGCAGCTTTGCAAGCGCACTTTCTGTTCAAATGGCACAGTTTACACACACAGTGATATTTTACTTTGCACAGCAGAGATATGGTCTGAAGTCTGAAACATAACAGGCATTCACGGCCTTGCCTAAATCCCGTTGGTTTTAGTGGGGATTTGCACCATCAACAAAGACAATACAAAACCTGCCACCCAGCACCATGTCATGTCAGCACGATGCATTACTGTGCTGGGAATGCCACTTTGGGCCTCGAGCTCTGTGTTTTGCTCGTTGGGTGGCAATGCCAACAACCCTCCATTGCCTTCAAAGAATTTCCACTGAACCAGGTCAGCTTGGCCTACGCTCTGAGGGAGCCACTTCTGTTCTACTTTGCCTGAAAGGATGAAAAGGAACTAAAAAGATTCATCTATGAAACCTCCCTGGTACCATTTGAGGACGGAAAATAAATTAAAAACATAAGGGAGGAACATGTCTATTATTGCTGACAAGGTGCTGCCGATATTACGGAGTGAAATTTAACTTTTTAATGCCATTTCTCAATATTAAAACAGTTTTTGCAGTAGAAAGATACACGTTCATATTGTACGGTAGAATGAGTAGGGTGCGAGACCATCCCTGCACAGTTCATTATGCATGGTCTTCTGAAAGAGATTGAAGAGTAAAACATAGATGTCAAGAGCAATCAGTTCTCTTCTAATTCTAATTCTTCACATAACAAATACAAAGCCGTCATCCTCCAAAATTCTCAGTGATGCTCACATACCAGCGTGTGCATTAACAACTCATCCTCATAACAAACACAGTAAGGCAAGGAATCTCTGCCACTCAGCCTGGGACAAGGTCCCACAGCAGCATGCTTCAGCACATCCCACAGCCACATCCAAGGGAGCACAGAGGTCTGCCAGAGCCAGCCCAGTGCCCTTCTCCACCTCACACATCCAATCAGGGCCTACTACAGCACGCTGACTTGGTTCCATCATCAGCTGTATATGGCATTTTTCTGCCTACGGCACAAGACTGGAGCCTTTGTTGAAATAAACTTCAGCGCAATCAGAGTACGCAAGATTTAACAATGTTATTTTTTACATTTTAACCATTGTGTAGCATACAAAATTATTACTCTTGGTTTTATTGGTTGTTGCAAGAGCATGCCACCATGGCCTCCCATGCCACCGCAAACATCCTTCCCGCTTCTAATTCAGTATCTCAATAACGTGGGGGTTTTTTTGTTTATTTTGCTTTTTATGTTTAGGCATCAAGCTGTTACAGAGTGGTTTCCCCCAATAAGCTTTATAAACAGAAACATACTCAGTTCCAATTCTTTGTCCCTCCTCACTTTAAGGTCATGGAAATGGCTGGTGCTCTTTACTCACAATTCACACTGCTGTATGCCATTTATTTACTTTCAGAGCACAGTTACCTTTTTCCCTTTCCATTACTTGCAGCTGTGCTTGCTAACTGCTGTTAGACTTGAAAAGCCACCCTACCGCCAGAAAAGTGCCCTGACTCGGGCAGTGTGAGTAGGGTCAGCTCCCTCTGTACGGGCGTCTGCACAGACAAGGGTTATGCTCGCTTCAGCTCCCGAGCCCATTGCTTTACGCTATATCTGAGCGGGTCACTAGTTACCGCAGGGGTGATGTTGGCATTTCGGGCCTCCCGTCATTAATCTTCATAACCTGAGCACTTGGAAGGGGATCAGGTATCAGACAATTCTATTCGCGTCCCGATAATCCCGGAAAACGCACCCGGAATGGCACCGACAAAGCCCCGCCGCAGCTCTCTGATCGCACTCCTTCATTGAGAACCCTTTCATATTTCTGCTATGACATTAAAACCGAACGGGTCGCCTCCGTGCACGCCGTCAGCCAAAGGGGTTCGGTCGGCGCAATCACGGAGCAAGCACAGCAAGCGGCACCGAAACCTCGTCCCACATTATCTCAAATGGAATACTTCCACAGGACCTCGATGTCCCGACAAATACCTGTCTGTGCGCGGGGACCGCTGGACAACCGGAGTCCCCGTCCGAGGGAGCACAAGCAGAGACAGCCGCGGCCGCGCCGCAGTCCCGGCCCCGTGCTCCTCACGCCGCACCTCGGCGCCCGGCACAGCCGCACCACCCGGCCCGGCCCGGCTCCGCCAGTGGGAGCCGCGCGCGGATCCGCCGCCGTCCGCCGCCCGCGCGGGAACGGAGCGCGACGGAGAGCCGCGAGGGGACCCGATGAGCCGCGGCACGGCGCGCAGCCCGCTGCACGTGCCCGGCCAGGCCCGGCGCCCCGCACGTGTCTCCAACCCAGCGGCAGCCCAGCGCCGCTCCGCGCTCCTCCGTGAGGCGCAGTCCGTCGCCACAGCGCGTTACCTCAGCTGCTTCGGCTCCAGCTTCAGCTTCTTGGCTTGAGGCTCCCCCGCTGCCATCTTCGCGCTGGGCAGCGTGCGGCGCGCTCGGCTCGGCTCGGCTAGGCCCGCCCCGCTTGGCGCGGCACCGCCACCGGGAGGCGGGGAGCGAACGGCCCCGAGGGCGCCTGACGGGACAGCGCCGCGCCGCCCCCGCCCGGCCCCGTCCCGGGGCGACACCGCCCCTCCTGGCCGCGTCCTCCGAGCGCCCGCGAGCGGCTCCCGTCCCCCGCCTGCCCTCGAGGCCGGGAGCCGCCGGCGGGCGGCGCGAGGCCGGCGGTCGCCGCGGAGCCGCGGAGGGAACGGGGCGG